GCAGTAAAAAGTAGCAATGAATCAAACGAGCGTTTCTTAAAACTTAATATCAATTCACTTCCTCCCAAAGAGAGGCGTGATAAGAAAGAATCTGTAACTAACATGAAAGCTTCTTCATACTGCACCTTCTAAAATACACAGTCTGCGCTCTCGCAAAAGATAAAGCTTTCTTGAAAAGTGAAATCAGCAGGAACTATGCTGTGCAAATTACGCTCTAAGGTGCAATTAAATACGGTGCAGTGCGAAATGCGTAACACCATGCAAGAAAACTAACGAAACAAAACTAAGCGTTTACAAATTCAACAATGTTGTCAAAAAAATGCATCGTTCCAAATGACTTAGACATGAAATACACGATCTTGTCTCGAGATGAAAATTTTAATATTACATTATTCATAGAATTTGTAGTGCATGACTCGTGAGTTTTTTTTTATTAATCAAAATCAACATTCTAATACTTCGCGACAGAAGAAGAACGAACCAAGGTTAGTATACAGTGTAATTATCTATTATTCTGCAAAGTTAACAAATAATATTGCAAAAAATAGACTGCCAGGTGATATATCAAATCCGGAAAGATTACAAATTATAATATCAGTTCTCTCCATCAAGAGCTCTATTTTTCAACCTCGTGGATAAGATCATTAATATTTTCTTCTCCAACTACAACGTAACGTTCGTTAGCTTTTGAAAACATGTGCAGATCACCCGTCTTTAGTTCAAACCATAAAGCGTGTAGGTTGACTTGCTTTTGCTCAAGAATTTCAGCAAGAAAATTATGTGATGTTATGTTTTCGACTTGCTGCAAGGTGTTAATTTGGGACAACTTGTCTTGAACAGTAAGCTTCTCTTCTGCGTCAATTTTGGCATCGAAGCTGCAAGCGTATATAATAATAAGTGACGTCTAATGCGAAGTGTTCTTCGAAAAGCCAGGAACTTAGGTCAGTGCGACTAACCAAAAATGGGGGTGGGACGCAGCAAATTTTAGCTTATACTCCGGGCCATGGCCTATTCTGTGTTCGAGCTTTTTAAGACTTTCATTACCTCGTTGTTCTAGCCAGTGATGTAAAGGACTATTCATGTTGAATTTGTTTGGGTTTTTGTAAATGTCATATAAAGCTTTCATAGCCTAAAAAACTTTAAATACAGGTTTAGTGTTATATTGAGTTCTTAAAACAAAGGAAAAATCTTATCTAGAGCCTGCCCGTAAAAACTAAACAAAGTAATTTTATATACAGAATTCATTCGGCAGTGTTAAACAAGAGCGGCGTAGAATTCCTATCAGTTAACAGATACAGCATTAATGAACAAATAAACTATTAAATCAATTTGAGCAAAAACAAAAACTACTTTAAATACTAAAGGTTTAATAATTAAAACCAGAATACAACTTACTGCGCAGTCTGAATGTCCACAGACAATTACATGTTTGATTTTTCCCAATTTTACTGTTAAATCTAGCCCAGCAGGTTCAGCAATAGGAGAAACTTCATGTCCACAACCTCCTAAAACTCTTGTTCCTTATATCTTTACAGGGATATTAGAGACGACAAAGTACTTGAGCTAGAGCGCGAAAAACCACAGCTCATATTCTTTTCCAAACCAAAACCTTATTATAAAGCAAAGTACAGCTTTTACGACGTCTCACCTATAGGTATCATATTCCCTGCATTACGAACGATATAAATTTCACCGAGGTCTGCATTCAACAAGCTGAAAAAACAACAACCAATTGAGGAAACCGTCAGAAAGTCCATAAGAAATGCAGCTTAAAATTATATGAAAAAGAAATTTTATATTTGTAATAGAGAAGATTCTAAACGTAAGGAAGACCTTAAAGGCTTTATTCGTGCATCCATACAAGCGTACATTACAGCCGATGCATGCCCATGCGCTGTAACCTCCTGTATCTTCTTAACCATAGGAGCGCGAACACTTTTTCGAAACTGCAAAACTCCTTTCAAGAACTTACCAAAGGTCGACATTTCCTGTTTTCGAGAATTGGCTACCAACGCACAGAGAGAAAAAACCCTAAAAGAAAAAGAGTACATTTAGTATGGAAAAGAACATCTAATACAACAATTTAAGTACAGTTTACCGTTGATATCAACTAATAATTATACTATGTAGTCTGCTAAGGAAAGAGACTTTATAACGAATGAAATAAATAAACTGCTTTGACAGTTACCTTATCAAAAGCCAAAACAGCAAAAAAATACGATTCACCATGCTTCCAAATAAAAAAGCCTTCATTTCCTCTTATTCAAGGGAAGAAAAAATTTGAACAAATAACACCTACATTTCCCCATTACTTTTTTATCAAAATATGAATACAAGTTAACACTAAACATTCATCTCTTTCTGAAACCATCTCACTCAAAAGAATATCCCGAAACCCTATGATCTTAAAAACGTACTATGCACAATCTAATGTACGAAATTTCATCAAGAATAAACGCAACATCACAGAAGGCTGCAGTAAGAACAAGATGGCTACGAAACCGTTACTGCAGAGACATTACTTCAGACTTTCTACGCAGTATTCACCACGGACAACAAAAGCTGAATCCTACAACAAGACTACCATTACGAAACTTTTGACTTAAACCATTCACTTTGCACCAGACTATGCTAAATAAAAGTTTATTGACATCTTGCAATCAGGAGATACTGGAAGACGTCAGAATGGAAGAAGTGTAAATAAAAAGTTAGAATACTCTGCAAAATCACTTTCCAGTTCAAAATTTTCCTTACACGGTCATAACTCTCTTCCGACTGATAAAAAAACTCTACTGACTTCCATCTTGCTTTACAAACTCACGCAGAAACAGAGAAAAAGTGCGCAAAAAACGCCCTTGAAAGCACGATCCGCTTACTCAGCTCTTCTCCCAACCGTAATTGTCTTCTCTTTGAACACTTCACTTTTTTGTATCTTTTAAAAGCAGTTATCAAGAAGTTCCCAGAACGAAAAAAAAAAAAAAAAGCCGACACTTTTCTGTCAAAAGCCCACCTCTAGAGCGTGGTAGAGAGAGATGCATAACCAAAACTGTTATTACCTTGAGACTTTAACAAAACAGAAGCTTTCGGACAAATTTTAAACTGGATAAAGGTGAATCATTTCCACACAATCAGAGAGTACTCATCCAGTTCTGTAACAAACATGGAAACACCTAACAACAAATTTTTTTCACTGCCCTTCCCGGAAAACTTGTTTGACTTTATCAGTGCCTTAACTAAATTCAACGTCACATCACGCTCGTCCTCAAATTTTATAATCTTTCTTGTCAATCTTTATTTTGGCAAGATTTCTTCACTTCTACCTTACCAATAACGGTTTTTATAACTTCGTAAATATCAATTTTGATTAGAATGAGTAATGAAAGTTCTAAAAAAGAAGCCGAGACCATTGCGGTGAAGTACGCAGTCTATTTTATAAAACCTATTCAACAACAAAATTAAACCACGGACTCAATAAAGAAGTGTAATCTCCATAGGTTCCGTAACCCAAATTTCTAACAAACTATCAAAGAGAAAACAAACAAGAAAATTTGTGAAAAAAACAACAATTTGTTCCCTTTTTCCCAAGAAGTCAACCACGACTTAAAAAATAATACTTTGCACAGTAGCCAACCGACGTGATTCGTATTTCTAGAATTCTGCACTACACAAATTTCACTAATATCTGTAATCTGAAAGGAAAAATCTGTCCAGTAACAAATCAGGAAAATTCTTTGAAAAAGAACCTATAATTGCAGTGGCAAAAAAGAACGGTGCTACAGCAGTTAAGCGTGTTCACTCTCAAACGTAACAAATTTCAAATGTGCTTCTTCTGAATGTCAAGCCAACTTCTTTTTTTGTATACAGGGTTCTCCAAACCGCCTCATCCGTCTACGATAGTTCCAAGTTTGTCTATTCAGCTTTTGCTGACTTCCTGACAGACTAGTGCTGATATGATAGCTCAGTTCTTTTGCCACCAACGAAATTGCCAAGAGAGACTTTTCAAAAGATCAAAAATATTCTAGTCTTCTCCACTCATAGCTTTGTACTGCTTTTTAATTTTTTTTAATTCGCTTTCCTGGTGATCTGTTCCAACCAATACAGCAATTGATTACGCCTGGTACGGTAATTATGAGTGAAATGCGGTGAGCTTATAACTCAAAACCTAAGAATTTCTACACCCATTTCACTCTTAACCACTCCGTTGAACTTTTTTTGTACAAGCCAGTATTGTAATCAACCTTTCAAGACTCTTACAAACACTACAGAGGACCAGCATAGCTAAACAGAAGAGCAGTACAATGTGATGAATGAAACAAGCGAGGTTCTTTCCGATACATATATACAAGCGCGGGTTTAAGAAATCTATTTTAGCGACTTCTTTGGTTATTTCATACAGTGGATTAAAAATTTCTGCATAGGCGACTCAATAGTGCAAATGAATGGGTATTTTCAGACAGACCAGAAAATGGGCAAAAAAATATGAAAACCGTGAGTGGAAGAATTGCGCGGTGAGTAAACCTGAACCTTCCAGAATTTCAGGATCTCGGCTACAAACTCCCTACACTTCTCATTAAACCACCGACTGGCAAGTAAAGGGCGTTGTGAAATGAAAAGAGGATTAAACTAACATCTTAGTACCAGACCGTAAGAAGGTTAGGGATAAGCTACATAGACAAACCTAAAACTGTCATAGATGAATTGAGCAGTCTCAAGAACAAGTCTAGCTGACGAATAAAAATGCACGTTCGATGAGGAGCAGATGAGCACGTTTAATTACAAAAGCTCCAAAAGAACTGAACTACGCTTTAAAACCAAATGAAAATTGAAAAAGAGCCTGAAGTAAAACCTCGGTAATTGTTCGCTCTTATCCATGCAAGCACGTAAATATCAGAAATCTGCGTAACCGCTCAACTACAGCAGTTGAACACTTACGTAAAATTGTGCACCATCTCTCAACAAGCTAGCAAAGCTTCATACGATATCTGCATGCCACTAACAAGAGCCATCGAAAGAAAAACAAAAGACAACTAGCACGAAGAACTAACATCCAACTCTATACTTTCTTAAGTGCTTCACTGGTAACTACAAACTACCACTTCAATAAATTTGCAACAAATCCACTGAAGAAATAACAAAAAAATAAGAGCGAATACTGAACTGGTTTAAAACGCCGTTTATTCAGCAATTACACAGTAAAAAAGAAACATACAATCCATATTTCTGAATGGAAAATAAAACGTTTATTTTTTTACGGAAAACAAAAAAATCCATACCAATGAGTTAGGACACGGTAAGAACAAGTGTACTCTGCAATAATTTATAACAAAAAAAAATACTCAACTGTAAGTACTCCATTAATACTATACTCACTTTCCTGAGCCCGTTTCATGAAAAGAATGTTTCATAAACCTTTATAACTGCATGACAATTAAAAAAAAAAAAAAACAAAATATAAATTCATCAAAACAGCAAATTTCACACAGTTTCAGATTAGGATTTTTATTACCGAGACTTTGCCTCCAATTATCTACACAGCCTCTGAGTATGCCTAATAAGGACCCATGGACATCTTACAATGAAAGCTTTCAATGAGATGATGTTCACATACCAGAGATGCATTTAAGAAATTAAGAAACATTACCAATAATTTAAAAGTTTAGCACGGAATTATACTTCACAGTTAAGACTTTTCCTTGAGCAACTGTTCCATGAATTCTTCCAATTTCTCTTGAATATGTCTGACTTGCTCTGAAAACTCAGAAAACTTGTTTCAAACTGTTTCAAAAAAAACCAAGTATAAACTTAACTTACTCAATTCTTCAGCCAACTCCACTTGCCGCCCCGTCAAATAATTCTTTTTTTTGCTATCATCCTGCGACCAGTCATCGAGAACGTCCTGCAGCGAAGAAGAAAGTAAAAGAAAAATCTCACAGCCAAGTTCAAACTAGTTCAACAAAACTAACTTTTATTTCCTTCTCTAAATGTTTTTGTTCGGTATTCATAATCTGCTGCCGTAAAGCATTGCAAGTTAGCTCCAACATACGATCTATGCGATAAAATAGAATGACAGCTTGACAGTCCACTTCGCCGTCGTTAAAACCCTCTTTATAATGTTGGTAAAAACCTCGGCATTCTGCTGCAGCCTGAAGTGAAAAAATTAAAACGTCTACGGCAGGATCAGATCCTTAATACACATGTAAAACGCTTAAAAAAGTACCTGTCGCTGTTTTTCCAAAAAATGCTTTTTGAAGATCAACTTCCACTGCTTCCTAATCCATTCATTCGTAACTTCCTCATATCCCTGAGACTCCAGAAGCCTACGAACTATAGTCAGGTCCTCATCAGAAAGGACTTGTCTGTGCTCCTCAATAAAAATGCCAGTAAAAATGAAACCAAAAGAAAATATAAAAGGTGAGAAAGAATAAATTAGTTTGCAGTCGAATTAGCTGTAATAATCATCCATACATTGAAAAAAAACTAAAAAAGAAGCCTACAGGATCACGTGCTAACAACTGCTCAAGTTCTTGATAAATCTTTTGATTGACTGAATGCTCCCGAGTCACTCGATTCCAACCAAACCACTGCGACCAAAATGAAGGGCCAGAATTATCATTGATCTGCTTTTGCACCTGTATATGGTAACGATCAAAACATGTCAGCTGTAAATCCATAAAAAAAGCAGCAAAATGTCTCACATTTTTTAAATGTCCCTCGACACTTTCAGCCATAAAATCCACAGCTTTTTCCCAAGCAGCTTTGCTGGGTACTAACCTGTCTTCAACAGCGCTTAGTTGAATCACTCTCTAAAAAGTGATAGCAGGATTAAAAAAATCAAACAATAAAAAATTCAGTTTTCATAATCAGAACGATAACAGACTAAATAGCCCAACGCTTTGCTATCCCAGGAATGATCTTGCATAGCAGCCTCAAAAACCGCTGTTTTTAGACGATCGAAAATTGCATCCTTTTGTCCCTTTTGTTCAGGACTGACCTGTCGCCTAAAGACTTCTGACAACGTTTCCCAGCCAACCTGGAAAATTATTAAAGAAAATAGAGAGAGGGGCAGACTATGAGTTTGTTAGACAAAGCTAAAGATATCCACTATATCTGCTAACTAAAGGTAATGAAAAATGACCTGTATCGATTTATTAGCAAGATCCTTGTCGGCCCAGTGTTTAAGTTTGATATCTATTACCGTATTAAATGACCCGGCATTATTTACCGCAGAGGCTGGCATAAGGATCTCATGGAATACATAAGAAGACACCTATAACCATAATAACTGATGAAACTATGCGTCAGATTACATCTCCAAAAAAAGATACGCCAATGGAAAACACAACTTACAGCATTCCAGAGCTTCTTTCGCAGTTCTTTCTCCCACTGCTTTTCTGGAATGAGTGACAGATTAACTATCTCATCAAGTATCTCTCCTTTCGCTTTCTCGAAGAGTTCATCACGATCCAACTCCCGCGTTCTCGGAAACGTGTTTTTCCATTCAGTTTCGAGATTGAAACGCGTGGCGCGAAATGCGTCAGCCTGTAATAAGCAGAACTTTTAAGCCACTAGAATGAAATTATTGTATACATGTAAGCTTAAAAAGAAGTAAAAGTTTGACTGATTAAGTTACTTGAGATTCTATCGAGTCTTTCACCATGCGCCAAAAACACTCAGAAACTGCCAGTGACATGTTTCGTGTTGTCATCTGCGATGCTTTAAGCACACCATCTCTGTAAAAAAGATAGAGCTAAAATGTAACAGTTAATTCAGTTACAAATTTTAGTGTTTGCAGGTGCAGTACGGAAGTTTATTACGAATGATTTGTATGTAAAAGGAGGATAAGCTGAGTGACTAGCATTTTGGCAAAGACTTTTACTGCAGCTGTTTCGCCTAACTTATTTTCTGCGCAAGTAATTCCATGAATTAAATCACGACCACCACAATTTTCTAAAGTATTTTCGACAAGAACCAAAATTCTTTTGTGTACGTCACACAGGTTTCTTTTAGATTACCAACAAGAACCATCATGATATCAAAAGAAATGTATGTCCCAGCTCTCAACGAAGTATGCTGTGTTTGAAAATTGTTTTAAATCACCACTGACATCGACTAAAGAGAAGCTACCATGCAGTAGACGCTTTTCCACAACCTCAGTGAAGTAAGTATCTTTTATTTGAGAATGCCCGAAATAAGAGAACTGCCATAAGTTTCTCGTAATACCTTAATTGAATTCTCTACTACAAAGCTTTCCCAACAAAAAGTGAGAACCTGGAAGTATCGCAAATGTCCTCTCCCTAAATTTTAAACTTAAAATTTATTCTTCTGTAGTCTGACTCCTTGCAAATACCTATTGTCTTTTGATTTCTACGCCTCTAAGTTTGTGCGTAATAAGTATATTATCACCCTTCACATCTAATCTTGTCACTTCGGTACGTTGTAACAAGTGATTCACTGAACCCTAACACCACAGCAGTTAGAATACGATCCTTCAACGAACATATAAAATATATTGTCGACATACTTGAGTAACTTAGAATTTGAGAAAAACTCCTCTTCGTACTTCTGGATTGACTCAATACTATCTGAGCTAGATCCTTTACCCGTTACCACACCAAAATATCCTAATGCTTTCATAGGAAAAAGCTTTCCTTCAAGGATTTTTTTTATGCGATCAGGATTGGTTATATTCTTTTCCGCTAAGTCTACCTGAAATAAGGTTCTATTAGCTCGTTTCATTATAAATAACAAAATTTTAAAAAATGTCTGTGTTACTCATAAGCGATTTCAAATCACACCTTCGTCAGTACAAGAATTGTGCGCTGCCCGAGAGGGTCAATACTACTGACAAGGTCAGTGACGTTGCTTCTTTCAGCGTCAACAGAGCCATCTGAAAAAAAAACCAATGACTAAAGTTTTAAAATAGGCTCAAAAAAAATAAATTTGTAGAAACGGTTGATAACCCTGAATGCAGAGAATAATGGCGTTAGGATTTTCCATATATGATTTACACATGCGAACAATGTCATCTTTGGTTTCTTTCGCCATATCAACAGTAACTGTTGAGATAATTCCTGGTAGATCAATGAGGACCATTCGAGGTAATGAAGGTCCTAAAAAAATAATAAATAAAATCCAAGTCCAATTTAAAACTTTGTGCGGCAGTCTTAAAAAGAGAAAGTTCCTGTCAATTGAACGAAGGAAAAATAAAATTTACCTTTCACTGTAAGGGCAATTACTTCATTGGACACTGTTTTACCGTCTGCAACCGAATTTAACATTCTTATTTCAATCTCTTTACGCAGCTGTCTAAGCTCGCTTTCCTTAGTCAAATCAAATTCTCGACTACTATCTCTGAACTGAGCAACGTGGTAGGGGCCTTCACTCAAGGTTACCTAAAAGAAAGTAAATAATCACTTTGGTACTAGGAAAACTATAACCACTGAAAAACTGTTGATGTACCTTAACCGGTGCCCTGGTCATCATTTCGCCCGAACCACGAGGAAATATCCGTGCTTGTGCTACCATCTCCAAAACAGACGTCTTCCCTGAATTGTTCAGTTAATATAACGGTACACTAGTAAAACGAGTATTTAATGAAACAGATTAAAGAAACTGTTTATGAATCCTTTCTAGCTTCGCTTTATGTTTAAAAACTATAAACTTTTGTTTTTCTCCGGCTGGGTAAAACAGTTCCACTCGCTCTAAAAAAACCTAGCAAAATGTCAGAGGATACACTTTTAAAGTAAACTGCTAAATTTCATGAGTAACCTTGAGAATTTTCAAAGTTCGGAAAAACTTCAGCAAAAACTAATTAACGACGTCCTCACTTGAATTAGAAAAATGCAATTTTCTAAGCAATCAAAAACGTTTTTCACCTGCACTCTGGTCGCCTACAACAACTACTCGGGGCAGGTTGTCGGCTGTATTGTAAGAGGAATCGTATTCGTTTAACAGGTCAAGTACTTCCGAATACATATCAATCAAAGATTTCTAAATAAGATCAAACGCGAGCTAAAAAATTACTAAGACTCGAATCTTCTGCAAGCAAAAATAGGCAAAGATGTTTTACCTTAACCTTCCTCAAACGCTTGGTGGCACCAGCTTCCTTCAAAAGCAACCGCTGCTTCAAAGCTTTATTTTCCCTTTCCAATATTTCAAGCTCCCTTTGATACTGACTCTAAAAAATCAACCAAGATTGTAAATAAATGCGCCAGCACTATAAAAACACTACCAAAGGTTGAAGCATCCATTAAAGCTGAGAACATAGTCTGGTGTAGGTAATATGACTGATAGTTTTTAAAGAAGCTTCGTCGTATATATAGCAGTAAGTCATAGTTCTAAGCTGCCAACTAAACTTAACCAGGAATCAAAGAGAAGCAAGAGGCAATGAAATTTCTGAACAACAATTTACCAGTAGGCAAATAAAAATATAAGGGTGATTTTACGTCAAATCGCACATTTTGTTCCGCCGACTTTCAAAATTTTGCTCAAATCTTGCTTACTTCTTAATCTCGACCTCGAATTCTAACAGAGAGAGTTCAGCTCAAAGTATGCTCTGACAACAAGGCTGGACTGTGCTAAAGTATGAAAAAATGAAGTTCCCGCTTCGCATAGTCATAACTCCAGTACTGCAATTTTGTTCATTTTAAACAGACCTTCAGCGTTTCTGGCCCTTTCAATAGCTATCTTCAGCAGAATCAGAAAAACACTGATATGTTTATCAGCCATCCCAGCGAGTCCGCACACTTTTTTTACTCGATATCTTACAACTTTTTCAAACTTTGCTGTACATCCCTCAAAGACGCAAAAGTTGTTCTGCTTGGCATGCTTGTCTTCAGAGACTCATAATTCAGCTAAACAAAATTTTTACCTTCAGTTTCTCAGCTTTGCCATAACATATACTAAATTACTTCATTTCGGCAAACAATTGTATAAGCATGATGAAAGCAAATACTAAAAATAAGACGAGTCGTCAAGTTTTCCTAAAAAATAACACTTCGTGTGGGATTTTTTGCTCCACAAAATACTAAAAATTGGAGTTGCATGAGGTCGAGAGTTATGAGCTGAAAAAGACTGTAAGACTGAGAAAAGCCTACTGTTTTTACAGCAATCCAGCACATTTTAAAGTAGCGGAACTCTCCTCAGCCGCTTCTGAAATCTACGACAAGCGGCTATGAAAGTCCGACTGTGCTTTATTTGCTAAAAATTGTTTCAAATGAGTTATGTTTCTCTTCAAAATAATAGGAGTTTATTATTTTGCAGAGTTATAAGAACCAGTCTTTGTTACAGTCTTTTCCAATCCTCATCTTTTTGTCAAATTTGTCAGTATGGTAGATCTTTTCGTGAAAGAAAACATTTCCAGTCCTTCTACTTTATATGCTAAATGTACCTCATTGATCTCAGTTAATCGCAATATTTAGAAAGCAAAAAAAACTAGAATGAAAACTACTTCCAATGACTCTGCAGAATAATAAAATTTTCGATATTTTGGACTAAACTATAATTTTTTCTAAAAATCCTCGACAATTTAGGCCTACCGAACTTCCACAGCTACTTGCCGTGACTATCACAGCTGCCTGTCGTGGCTTCCAGATAAAACCAAAAACAATTTTGGTTCTTTAAAAAGTGCTAGACTGCTGTAAAAAGAGTGAGTTTTCTCAGTCTTAAGGTCTTTTCTAGTTCATAATTCTCGGTTCCGGAAAGCTGCCATCCCCAATTTTTGATATATTATAGTGCAGAAAATTTAAAAAAAAATGTCTTCTTTTCAAAAAATTTAAAAGTACATTTTTTTACTACTTATTTTCTCCATCGTACCTCTAAAATTATGCACCAAAACTAGGCAATTAATTGTAATTTGTGGCATAACTGAGAAACTAAAAGTTCAAAGCTCCGTTTACCTAAATCAAGTCTTTTAAGACAAGCATTTCAAGCAGTAACAAATCTTGCAGTTTTGATGGGGTGTAGCTTGGCGGGTAACTTGCTTTCTAGGTTCTCTTTTCAACATTTTGTATATTGGGCCAGAGTCTGCTAACCACCAAAATTTGATGAAGTTTTAAGACATCAAGTGAAAAAAAAAAAGCGGGCACGAAATGGCCTTCATATTCTAAAAAAATGCAAAAAGTTAGGCTAAAAAGTTTTGACCGCCGTGTCTACAAATGGGCCTCCCTAAATTTTTTGGAAAAGTACTTTGAAAGTACATTTCATAAAGATTGAAATTTCATGTTGGGTGACAGAAGTTATAATACAATAAGCGAAGCAAGGTGAAGAATTCTGCCATATCTAAATTCTACTCAAATGTTTTCTCACGTAAAACAACCTTTTCTTTAGTTATGCAGTCATGTGCAATTGAAATTACTCATCTTCACGCTTCAAAGCTAATAAAATACAGTGAGCATGCCAAAAGACTTGTCATTTTGTTTCACTTCTCATCTTATAACTCCTGGTTGATGAACAAACTGTAATTGTAGTATTTTAGGTAAAAGATATATCTTTAAAAACATGTCGTTTTTGAAAAGTTCAAAAAATTGTATTTTCCGAGTTCTTAAAGTATATTTTACCTTAACGTTCACAAACTTCATTGATAAGAACGTTTTAACACTTTTTTGAATTTAAAAAAGATCAAGTACCAAACGAACAAAAACATTGCAAATTGGCTGTGAACAAACAAGATTACAATTCTTCAAAAGTAACCTCGTCAAACAAAAAATTCACTTATTTTGCATTTCAGTATTTCAGTATTATTCGATCATTTTTCAAAGCATTTATTAAAGTAGCCCCCCTCAATTTTTGAGTTCGAGCCTAAACTGTATAATGAAGTTGAGTTTAAACAAAACCTAGACGATCAAATGAAGAAAGTGCGACGTTTGACTTGAAAACACCTATACAATTACTGTATACAAATTAGTAGATAAAGAGCAGCACCTGTGTCTTGAACATTTCCTCTTGCAACTTCTGGATCCTTTCAGCTTCGGACATCTAAAATACAAGCGTCTAATGAAAAAACCTAGTCACAAGAAAATGTTATACCGTCGGAGAGCAAAATATGAGAAATTGCATGTTTAAGACATTATAAAGAATTGGAAAGTCGAGAAGAGAGAACACATTAACCTTTGTCAGTTGGTCTCCCGCGGAAGCGCTGTCGATAGATTCTGAACCGGAACCTGGTGCGGGCTCTAAAAATAATGAATACTATTTTAGCGGATTCATAGCCCAAAGCGAATGAAAACAGAAATAACAGCAGTTAAAAGAGTAGCAAAAATGAAGATAGTGTTATAAAAAGTCAAAGCTCGAAAAAATTATTTTTTAGTCAAAATCCAGATTAATTTAGTTGTAAGAACTAAACTTTGACGCTATTATTCAAGAGGATGCAACAACAAAAACTAACAGCACAAGGAAGATTTTAATGGCTAAAGCTAAATGTGAAGAGAACATTTCAACACAATCGAAAAACTACCTACCGTGAGTGAAACTGCGAATGAGAGCTAAAATGTATTCAATAAGTTAAAAGTTTTAAATCAAAAAAAGTAAACTAAAAAAGTACTCTATAAAAAAACTTACTGTCTTGAGAGAGAAAATCCATTGAAGTAAAGAAATTGCCATCTTGAACAACCTCACCTGTAAAAAGGTTCTGTTAATGAAATTTTTAGTTTAAAAGATCGGAAAGTTTGGCTGAATAGACCTGACTAGATGAGAAACAACCATATGCGTAACAAAATGTGCTGTGAATTAAGGTTTGGGATTCAATCATAAAACGACTTCAGCTCGCTCGCCGGCAAATAATGCTAAGGAAGAAATAACCCCATAACGTGAAACGTTTTAGAGTTTTGAAACTCGAAAAAAAAAATTAAAAATCACTGTACAATTAGATTGTCAATTAGGCAACGAATTTCGTCCTAAAAAAGCTGATTCACAACTACTTCCAAACCCAAAAAATCAACTCGCGCCATCAAATCCAGTTAGTATAGAAAAGTAAATTTTTCCCCTCTTTGCTCTTTAGGCAAAGAAAATGTTTAAGATGCATGCGCCTACAACATCGTGTTACAAAATCCAATTTCTTTAGAAAAAAGTTTGAAAAGATGTTAGCCACCACAACTCATCATATTTCTTCTACAAAGTGTTGAATTTTTCTGAAGAAAACTCGGTTTCCAATAATTCCTAAAAGCAAAAGTGAAGGCGTTTCAGGTTCACGAAACAAAAAATTTGGCTGATCAACATAAGAAAAGTTTTACAGCAATTACTGCTTCATATATTTATCTTGTCACCTTGCCCCAACTTCGAGCTTATTCTTTCACATGACCCCTTAGCTTTCTCATCATTTACTTTTTAAACATAAAGCTTAGCCATTATTTGATTCACCTTTTTAATATCAGTAAACTTTTCAAAGGAATGCCTGGAGGAACCTACGAAAACTAGTCAGCAGTTTGAAACTATGAATTTTGTATGCAATACAAAAGGCTATATTTTCACTGAGGTGAAATGCTCTGATTTAAACTTAATTTGAAAGAAACAATTAACACGCTCAATTTACTATTCCTAAAGAATTTAAAAAAGAAAAAGAAAGTAAGGTATGCTCTTCAAAACTAAAAGAAAATCTTATTTGAAAATGAGCAATTTATCTTAAACTACGTTCAGAGAGATCTAAAAGGTTGAATGACAATTTTCGGTTTCCAATCTTTCTAGAGTTTAAAGTATCAAAAAGGAAATCTAAATGTTACACGGGTAATCAAGTTGTACAATAACTTTACTTGAAAATAGTAGTCCCAAAAGACTTTTTGTCAACTTGAGTACAATAAATATGTCAACCATTCGTATGAAAAATTCAGAAATTTACAGCAGTTAAACTTTAAAAAATTAACATCCCATTTGCACACAATAAATTAAAGACTGCAAATGAATTGATTTGATGAAGGAAAACTCTTTAACGAATGCAACTGGTGGTGAGACTTGCCTAGATACATTAAGAAAGGCCGACCTTTAGGAGAAGACCTTTCCCACATTCGATCATAATCCTTGAACCGTTGCCGAGCTTTGTCAAGCCAAGAGTGGTCTTTACTGGACCATTTTTCTTTTAACTGGTCATATTTTTCACCGAGTCTTTTTACTGTACCTTCGTCGAATTTGGCCCAATCAGGAAGAGTAATTTCTGGAAGTGAACTTTTCCAGTCTTCGTACCACTAAAAAAATTGTGAAAATTTAAGAAGTTGCTCAAAACAGAAAACGCTTTTCTCAAATGCTGTCTCAATGGTCATGGATAATTACTGGTAACTTCGAAAGAAAATAACACATAGTTTACGAAAAAAAAGAGCTTCTTAAATACAGCTGCCCATTATTACCTAACAAAGCCGAAGAAAGAAGTACTCATTTAAAACAAAAAAAAAAA